GGTGTGGTCCGAGGGGGATGGCTAAATGTGTTCGCCAGTCTCACTGCTTGTGGATAGAAGCTATTGAAGAATCTAGTGGTAAGTGTCCGTATGCTCTTATATCTCTTGCCTGAGGGCAGTGGGGTGAAGAGCACCTTATTCTTTTTCAGACATAGCCTCTTCTGGCTCAGCAATTTGGATTTTATATTTTATGTTTATGGTTTGTTTTCAATACCTCCACTGCACTTGTCTACATGAAACATTATCTTCAAGTATTTGTGCAGTCTTGATTTTTATCTAAATCTTTCTGAATGTCATTTGTTGCTTCTGCAGTGTTTGCTAATCCTCCTAATTTGGTATCATCTAAATAGTTTACTAACTATACAAGAAGGTACATCATTGATACGTTAAGAAGAACAGTGGACCAAGCACTGATCTCAGTAGTAGTCAAGTACTGTAATTATATCACACCAGGTTTAGTATTCAAGACTTATCTTTACCCTCTGGTTTCTTTTTACAGTAATAACAAATTCTCAATCTAAATACTTGCATTTTCCACATACTGCCTACAAATAACATAGCCACCTGAGTGTACCTTTTTAATGTTTGCATAATACCAGACAAAAAAATCATTAAATTCAAAGCTCTACGTTCTTAATTTCATAGAATGAAAAATTGGGAACTGTAGAAGATATACAGTACCTTCCTGATCCGGTCCCAATATGTGTATAGTAACTTTAATCAAAAAATGTACCCATATTACAAATTGCTCCAACATCACACAGCCCCCCCCCCAACTATAAAACTTTAATCAGTCCAACTGACCTGGAAGCTGAAAGCATTCTTTTTTACTCAGACTGTAAATTATTCATATTTGATTTCAAGTTAAACTGCAGTCTTTTGCTCAGGAAAGGGGTGGGCGGGTGGGAGGGGGCGATAAATTGTGCTCGTTAGCCATTATTTTTTTAATTTAGCTAGATAAGTCAGCTGTTGACAAAGAAAAATTGCCCTGTTTTCACTATCAGCAGTAACACTTGGTTGATTTAAACAATATTTTATCAGGCTGTACTGCAGAAATCTCTTATGTTGAGCTACATGCCGTTATTGTGAAACTCACATTTCTAAGTGGAGATTAGTTTGTTCTTAAAAGAGAAAATCCAGGAAATCTTGGGAAGAAAAAAATGTAATCTGTGGTTTCCAGAGTGTTGCTACCAGGCAGGAGGCCCATCTCACAAAGGGACATTTTAGCAAAAGGAGAAAAATACTATTTGACCTTGTTATAACAAAAATACATTATTTTTATTATTTCATAAATTAAGTTGTTTTATTTTACTTTTGAGACATGCACAGGTTCTCTTCTAGTATTTTAAATTCTTGTTAATTTTAGTTCTCTTGTTATTTTTTAAGGAAGTGGGAGTCCCTCTCTCTGAGGAATGGTCAAATCCTTTGTTTTTATTCTGTGATTCATTTTGAAATGCTTGCTTACCATTCAACCATACAGCCCTGCAAGAAAGGATATGTTAAAATTGTAATACACTTGTGTCATGGATTGTGATTTTTTTAAAATTCTCAATATGTGGAAAAACCAAAAGATTATAACTCATAAAAAACATATTATGTCTATATGAATTTGGGAAAGCATGTTACAGTAAATTATGTTGTCCATCCTGGTAGACCTGCAGTATTTCTGCAGTATTTGTTTTCTTAAAACAATTGTATATTTTCACAGATTTATATGTAGATCATTTGTCAGTGGTAGTTTGACAGAAAAAGCAAAGGTCAGGGTTTTGATCTAGGACCCAAGGTGAGAAGAGATTTTGTACTGCTCTATCCATAAACCAGCAATGATTTCAGGATTGAAAATTAACACAGCACTACTGTACATATCAGTGGCTGCCTCACATAAACAGAATTTAAAGTTAGCCTAACTGTTATTTTCATTTAAGACTTTTAAGACTGATAAATTGTGGGCAGGTGAAAAAGAAGTGTTACCTACTGTGCATGTCAAGAAACCCAAAGTATTAAGGCAAGTAAACATGTCAACTTATGGTTTCATCTTGAATTGCTTCTGAAGTAATGTGATATTTAGAAAACAATGACCCATTCTCAGCATGGCTGCAATCATATTGACTTACTTGTCTCATTGCTTTTTTATGTTGCTGTTATTTGGTTGTCTTTATTTGTAATTTGTTTTTGTTTTCCCCTAGGGGTACTGTGGAAGCCCGTTTCGTCTACATCTTTGTCCTTGGCATCTTGTTCACAGGTGCTAAGGACTTGCTGAGGTCACAGGTCATCAGCTCAGATACCCAACTAAAGAGCAGGGGATTGTGGGAGATCTACAGTGGTGTGGTACTGCTGGCAGCTCTGCTCTTCAGGCCTCACAACCTTCCTGTCCTGTTATTCTGCCTCTTGATTCAGACCATCATGGCTCAGTTCATCTGGAAAGAGCTTCAGTATGATGCAGCACAAACTACCATAATGCATTATTGGTTTGGTCAAGCATTCCTTTACTTTCAGGTAACAGCTCATGAAACATTCATACTGTAGTTTGTGCCTGAACATGTAAAGACATTCTCAGGGTCATTCATTTGTCTCAGGATCTTTAATATTCACGTTACAAGCCATGTTACGCAATGAAGCATAAAATTATAAGCTTTTAACTGGCAATTTGCATAAAGTGATGACCACAGCCATGCTTCCGTTTTATTTTTATCAGGTATAATTACATTGTTATCATCACAGCTTTTTTTTAATTGGAAACTCTTAATAAAGAAGGAAAAGCAAAATGAAGGGTTTCATTTATTCTCCTACATGCTTGGTAAGAATAATTGAAACAAAACCTCTGCCTTCCCCGATTCTTGGGTGTTGCAGTGTGTTCAGGGGGAAGGAATCAAAATAGATATTTGAATTACACATGCCTCGATGTTCTCATCAGTGGCACCAGAAGAATTCATTTTCTGCTGTCAGTAGTCGAGAATACTTTTGTCAAATTTGTATCCTTTACGAGCCCTCACCTGGTCATGAAAAGGTGTATTTGGAGAAAGAAAGTGGAAAAATGTTCATTCCTAGCCAGCTGTCTGAACTGGAATAAATTAAGTATTTTATTGAGTCTTCAGAAGTGACCATGGAGTTGAAGTTGGACTTGTAGTGTACAGTGTAATAGCATAGATTGATTGCTCTATTGTTAACAGTTTAATTGTTATAAATTATTATAAAACTGTATAATATTAAATATTTCAAAGATATCAGTAGTCCTAACCATATTTTTAGGTAAGCACATGGCCACATAACATTTGCAGATTCAGATTGTCTCGGGTTTGTCTGGATATGAGCAGACGGATGTATTTAAACTGTATTTCTAAGCACATAGAAGTAAAGAAAGCTGGAACTTAAAAAACATAATATACTGTAGGAATTGGCATTAAGCAACCATTTCAGTTTATTCATCAATCCTATAAGCATCATATCAATACCATAAGACAAAGATGGTATATGGCTCACCCAAATGCTCTAGCCCACCACCTGAGCCCTTATCCACTCAATTACAAGTGAACACAACTGCCTTGCACAACCATCTCCATACAGTATAACTCAAATATTAAATGAACTGCATAATAATAATTTCTATCCTACATGATACAAAAGGGTAGTACTGATCAATAGTTAAGAATTTTTAAAGATCTTATTGTTATTGGATGCCATTTCTTCTATTTTCTTTTGTAATTTTCAGTTTTCGACAGTAAGACGTGTGGCAAAAGCTCCGTTGATAAGCAGCAGTACTACTGGGGAATGCAAACCTGGTTTCATAGGCCCAGGCCTGTCAGGATAAACCCTGCTCCTGGAGCTCTCAAGTAAACATGCAACCTAGCAACACTGAATATCTGTAGGAATACTTGTAGTCACAGGGGACTAGCACTGTTAACCTGAAAAGGTGAATGAGAAAAAATACTGGATGTTGATAAAAGTTGTTACCTTGGATTCATGAAAGCCATACATAGCCGTTGCGCACAATGAAGTTGGACAACCCCTCGCTTCTCTGGGTTTGGCTGTGCAACATTTACGCTAATGATATAAGCAAACTGAAAAACGAAAGTTCTTCTAAAACTAAAGGACACAAGGATCATGGATTTGCTTTTAACGTTTGCTGTAGGTATTGTGAAACCTCCCAGCTATAGGAAGGAAGTTGAAATTTGAAAGAAACAGTGAGACTTACATAGTGAAATTGACTTCCAAGTAAACGTGAACATCTAATTTAGTGGTTACTAGTTTCTGTCCCTCAATTTGGCATATGGTGGTCTTCAAATCTCTTGATTGGGACTGGGACTCTCTAGAGTACAGGCTAATGACATTTGCATATACCTATACATCTTGGAATTTCCTTACCTTCTCATTACTCATTTATTGGGCGGTGTATTGAACACATATATATAAACATCAAACTGTAATTAATCTGCCATTAGTAGTACTCTGCACACTTTCCTGAAGCTAAATAAGAATTAATAGTTCTAAATCAGCTTGGATGCATTTGTCTCCTGTTGATGCATTTATTGATTGTTTCCATGTCGGTAAATAGTATTTAGGATTCTTAAAAGACATTCGAAACACATTCTAATGTTGATCTAAAACATTCTTAAATCATAACCATCAACTTCCTCTACATTTTATTTTCAAATACCAAGAGACAACATACAGTAAAAAATAACATTTTTTTTCTTTTAGGGTAATTCCAATAACATTGCAACTGTGGATATCTCAGCAGGCTTTGTGGGACTGGAGAACTATGTTGAAATTCCAGCAATTTTTCTGACAGCCTTTTGTACCTATGCAGGCCCACTATTGTGGGCCTGCCACCTAGTTTGCTATCTAAGCTCAGAAAGAGAGAGGTGAGTTAAATATTTTATTTTTCAAAATAATCTTTGGCAGATAATATACAGTAAAGTTTGTCTATACAGTATATTGAATAAGTACTTAAATGTTTTTGTGGGCGTCTGGAACATCCTACCCAGCCAAGTTGGTGAATCTGATACACTGGCTTCTTTCAAAAGCAGCTGCATGAGATCCTCAGAGCAGTTATCTACTAGCAGGCAAACAGACTAGAAAGACCGAATGGCCTCCTCTCTTTAGTAACTCTTATTAGGCCCTTAAGTTCTAAGTGGGATATCAAGAGCCTTAACCAATACAAGTGCTTATCTGGAGCAGGTGTTGATGTACAGTATCTCTTCTAATCCAGGGTCGCGGCCATTTTATTGGATGCCTGTGAACAATGTATTTTAGCTGTGCTTAAATAGCTAAGTTCCACCGTGGTAGAGTGACTTTTTGAGCCATAAAATGTATTTAATAAGTGACTTTAAGTGATAGCAGTAAGACTCTGTTGTTCAGTGTTTCTACATAAGCAACTTCTTTAGACAAATTGTGGGGAAAATGTGATGTTGTTTTTGCACATATTGTGGTAAGCTGTGTAAGCTGTGTAAAAGCATATTGTGCATTTTATGACTTAGTAGTTAATTTTTAAATGTTTGCATTGTACTAGTCTATTATGTGCAGTTCTTATATCATTTGCAAAAGCTACTGTACCTTGTTGGCAGACTTCTGGAAATGCCTTTTATCACAGAATGTGCAGCTTGCAGCCCAACACAGTAGGCCTTATCATCTTGTCATGTATTTGTACACACAGTGATGGAAATTAAATTATTCTGGGGTTAATCCAAGTGAATTGTAGAGCAGTGCTTGTTGTATGAGATTTAATTTAATTTTCTTGGATGGTCTTTTACTGTACAGTACAGTCAAAAGAAAAGCCTTCAAACAGAAGGCCATCATTCAGAATCTGTAAATCTCTGTTGACTCTTGTGGTATAACTGATCTGGAATAATTTGAAGATGCTTAACTTAGAATGTTTATGTACCATTAGGACGAATAATGTGAATGGCCTGGTAGACAGTTAACTGATTATTGATTAAAACCTTCCTAGATTATATATTAAAAGCCAATGTTAAATGCATTCCTGTACCAGGCCCGGGTTACAACATAGGAATTGCATACAATGTTAAAACTGCAATGTATGTATTTAAAGATAAGTAATTACTGTTTGAAATGAATCACAAATTGAACAGTATTTAAGAGTGATTTATCATTAAGCAGCTTTCAAGCCTTTTGTTCTCACTGTGTAATTCCAATTAAAGTGTCTGATAATGAGCTTGAAGGAAGAGGCTTTGAAAATATAGTGTTTGCACACTGTAGCATTTTAATGTTTGACATCTTGTAGTGTGTAAGTCCTTCCCCCAGGATTTCTCTTGAAAATGAGCAACTGTTAACATCATTTCAGTTCAGCAAAGGGAAGGGAAAGCAAAGTTTGAAGAGCATGTGTTCTGCATATCACAACTGTAGGTGGGAGGGCTTTAAGCACCCCACTTAAATTCATTTAACTTTTTTACTTTTGGATAAATTAATAGAGAAATCTGATGCATCTTGTATAAAGATTTATCAATTCCTCTCTAGATGGGCTTTTTAACAAAATTAATGCAGATGAAAAAAAAAAAAATCCTATGCAGTTGCGCAGTTGGTATCTGTCTTCCACTGCAGGCTTATGCTGCTCTGTGCTGCTGTGAAGGACTGCTATCCCAGGTGTCAGCAGACACAATCCTTCCATCATCATCATTTGACTGTCTGAATACCAATGTTACTAAGCATTGCACACACTTTGGGCTCTTATGTACAGTTTGTTCTGATCCATTATTGATTGGAAAGACAGTTTGTTAGAGAGCCCTTCTGACACAGTATCTTATCATCTCAGATACCTGCTCACCATCATCAGATAGAACTGGGATTTTGAATTTGCATCCTCTGTCATTAACGAACGTCTAAAATAAATGATTGATCTAGTTAAAGAAGATAAAATAGTTTGAGTAATGTACAGTAATTGCACTTATTGAAATAATATTCCTGATTTTGATTGTCATCATATATTTGCTTGTTTCCTTAGAAAATAAATCAAATACAGAGCAAAAACTTTTCCCCTCATCCCTTTGCTGGTACACCTTATTACTACAGCTATCTGTTAAAGGACTGTAGGAGCCAAATCACACAAAATTAGTAGAATTATAGTTTACAAAGTAACAAGTAATAGGTGTATTCCATGCTGAGAAGAGAAGAAAGAAAACACAATGTTTTGGCTGTGGAGCCTTCTTCAGGTGTGAGAAAGAGAGGGCAGTAAGCAAAGGTCATGTAGCGGGAGAAAAAAAGCTGGGAGAGAGGAGGAGTGAGGGGTGGGAGCAGGGGACAGAAAGAGAGGCCAATCAGGCGGTGTGAAGTCAGGATAGGTGAAGAGAGGGCTGAAATGAGACCTACAATGAATAGAGAGAATTTAGAAGAAAAGTAGTCTGTCATTAAGAGAAGGGGGAAGGTGTGATCTTAGCTGCAGGATAATTGTAGTTTCAAATTGTAGATTTGTTAATAAATTATACAATTTATTAAATTGAAGTTTAATATAGACCTGCCTGCACCAACAACATCACTCCATGCCTTCACTGTCCTCCCACTCTCACCATCAAGCTTGGCAATATGAAGCACTATAAATATAATAACTATAAAACTCTGGATCCAATAATTGTTGTAGAGGTTTCCAATAAAGCACCAAACAACTGCATAGCTGTTGTCAGGGCAGCCGACCATATCCGTTTCTACTGCTGTGAAAAGCCAAGGCCTCATTTGTTGTTCAACAAGAACAATAAACCTAGGCTTTTCTTGTTTGGAATAGTGGAAGAATATGTGGAGATTCAAAACATTTTAAAAAAGATGCTTGTGGATTTACATAAGCGGCTAGGGATATGTTTCCATATCAGCATCCATGAATGGTCAAGTACACTCTGTGAAGAAAATTCAAGTGAATCATTTCATGATTAGACGAAAGTCCCACAATGAGCATTGTTTTCCATCTGCAGAGGTTCAAATGTTTTTTTCAGACATCCACTATGTCATTTGGTTTATTTCTCCTCTCAATCAGACGTTGTAGAAATACCCTACTTTAAGGGTAGCACATTTCCAACAATTTCAGCGTGCAGAACTTTAACCAGCTAATGATAGACAAAGTTGGGAATAATAAATTGTGAAACACTCCCACAATTAGCTTAAAGTCTACTGAGGTTCATTAAGTTTCATTTTAGACAACACAGCTGAATCATAACAGTTCTGAAATTTAGAAATTGATATGTAGTGGATATCAATTACAAATCCCACTTTAAGTTTTTAAGAGCTGAAAGTAGTTCCTGAACAGAAAGTTGAAATCAATTATTCTGTGATTAAGAACGAAGTTTTATTAAAAGGCAACTGAGATCATAAAGGACAAGGGCTGGAAAACACTGCCTTCAAATAGAAAAAAGGAATAATAGAACTTGAATCATAGAAATTTCATGGAAGGAAGCACATTCTTAAATATTATGAAGACACAATTTTGGAAACTGTGAAAATGTGTCCAACTGTTCAGGTCAGCATCTACCCTTTTAAAAAATTTTACTAAAGTAATTTAATGTGATGTCATGTAAAATATAGCAATTTTCATGGTGTCTGAAGTGTGTGGCTGGTAGCACAATCGTAATTCCATTTCAAAATATAATAGTAATAATGCATACTTAGACCAATTCAATTTATACCCTGACTGAGTACCAATATTATTAAAAATACTGGAGGATACAGTAATTGGGGAGCCTATAACTATAAGCTATATATACAGTATGCATCCAGCAATATACAACATTGATAGTTTTTAACAGAAATAGAAGTAGAAACAGTAGATTGATGGACAACAACAACAGTAAGCTAGTATTTCCAAAGACAGGGTGAACATAAGAGATGAAAGTATGTCCCTAGAAACAACAAATGGGAAAGACTTTCTGCCATTTAATACCAATGCTGAAGGTAAATCATGTTCTGAACCTAACTCTGTTTCCATTTCAGTAGTTTTTACTATGATGGGATTCGTGCAGTTGTGGGGCAGATAAAGTACATGTATTTTTAATGTATGTTCAAGCTGCTCCATACAATGCAGGGGACTTCCACCAAACCACAGCTAATTTAAAGAAATTCCTACGATTTCGCTTGAAAATTCATCCACAGTGTTTTTAACACTGTAGCATTAAAACCACATTATGTGACACAAATGTGTCAAATCTGTATAAATTCTCATGGATTTGTGAGAGCAACACGAGAACTAGCTCAGCATTGTGTTCCACAGATAAAAGTGTTTGTAGAGGCAAAATGTTACCACTTCTGGAATGTAGTGTACTGTATAACCAGAAGAAAAGTTCATTTTTTTTACTTAGGGTTCCATATAAAGATGCTGCCACACCCAGATCAAACTTACAGTTTCACAATATACTTGGCTTCCATCCCCTTCAGCCTAAATCTGTCAGGCTTGTAATTCAAAGCAGCATTTGTGTCTGTACCCACAATCATGTATGAACAGGAAAATAATCCAGTTCAAATGCTGTAGGGGCATAAATGGAAAAAAAACAACATAAAATTTGTACATAAAATATATGTTCTTAAATATGTCTGTCTATCTGTAGCACCAGGAACTGATCCAGTTATAAAAATATGAAAGGTATGTCTTATTACAAGTGCACTTTGCAAACTCCCCATAATAATACATATGAACAAATAAACCAGTATCATGCTGTTTCAGATGAGCCTTTTGTAACATGGTAACATTTTTTCCTAAATAGCAAATTTGAATAGACAGAGCATAAGGACATAAGCAGGGATCCAGAACAAAATAGGAACATTAGTCATGGGTATTAGAAACCAAGCCCATTATCAAAGAGGTATAAATAATTGTGTGTTGTGTAAGTGAAGGATACATTGCAGCTGCAGCTCAAAACTGTAGAAATAC